TCCAGGTAAGGTTGGGGTTGAGGGGGGCCACAGCCCAAAAAGGTGCTGCGATGGGGAGGGGAGCCCACGGGCAACCTGGTGTCCCCTGGGCTGCTTGGAGCAGCCCCTCGGTGATGGGGTGGGCGGTTTGGGGTGCCGGCTGAGCCCCCATCCCATTTCAGTACTACTGCTGCAAGAAGGATGAGTCCGAGGAGGATGAGGAGGAGCCCGACTTCGCCGTGCACTCCCACATCCCGCCGCTCCACTGCAACCGCAACGTAGTGCTGACCAACGGCCCGTCCCTCTACGCCTCGTCACCCTTCAGCAAGAAGCCGGCACCGAGCCGCCCCAGCTGCCCCAGCTGCTCACCATACGAGCCCCCCACCTTCTTCCTCCAAGAGCCCCCCGAGGACCTGCACAACGGGGGCGACCGGGTGAGCTACAAGACGGTGAGCCAGGAAGATCTCGACCTGCCAGTGAGCGTGGCCAACCTGCAGGCACTCAACCCCAACCGGCTCTCGGCCATGCGCGAAGCCTTCTCCCGCAGCCGCAGCATAAGCACCGACGTGTGAGGCTCTGGCTGCCCGCCCAGCCTGGAGCATCACCTCCACCTCCCCAGAACATCACCTCCACCTCCCCAGAGCATCACCTCGCACCACCCCGGAGCATCACCTCCACCTCCCCGGAGCATCACCTCCACCACCCCGGAGCATCACCTCCCCCTCCCTGGAGCATCACCTCCACCACCCTGGAGCATCACCTCGCACCACCCCGGAGCATCACCTCCACCTCCCTGGAGCATCACCTCGCACTGCCCCTCTGCCACCGCGGCTTTTAATGGCAGGGAGAACTTTTTGGAATTGATGGAAGTGTTTTGAAAAAGAAGGAAGGAGAAAAAAAAAAATCCAGTGTATTTCTACGTTCTGTGGGCAGAGACGTGCTAAATGGCAATATAAAGGAGTAGCCAAAAAACACAAACAAACCAAAAGGGAAGCGAGGGGAAGGACGGTTGCAGCCAGGATGCAAGGTTTTTCTAGTGCTGCATTGCATTTTTTTTTTCTTTTATAAAGAGGATTTTGATATTGTGCATTCTTTTATACAGAGCAAATGCCCCTACTCAACGTTGGGCAGGAGTGATGAGCGAATGACGGGGCACATGGGCAGCTGCAGAATGGCTCATGCTGCAAGTCAGTGGGCACCTGCTGCTGCGTCCTGGGGGCACGCTGCAGCCCACTGCTCCTGGCCCTAGTGTGGACATACATGCACACACATGTGCACACACACATGCCCCCTCAGAACCATAGCAAAGTGGGGCTGCTATTGCCCACCATTCTGCCACCCCCTGCTGCACCACTCCATATTGCAGCTGTGCATGTGCGTGTGTGCGTTTGCGTGCGCGCACAGCCCTGCACTATTCCCAGGCTGTCTCACTCCTCAAGCTGGTCATGTATTCCAGGGTGCCAGGCGTGATCCCCTCAGGGTTAGGATGGCTGGTGGGTGCACACCCTGTCCCTGCCCCCGGGAGCAGCCCCCCAGCCTCTCCCCTCGATGGAGCTGGGCTGGGGGGGTGGTTTGCAAACCCATGGCATTACCTGGCTGTGGAAATAACACATGGGCAATTTCAGATGGAGGAATAAAACTGTAGCTGCCCCCTCCAAATAATGCCATACATGACATCTGGTTGAGGGCTGGGGCAGCAAGAGAGTGACCGTGTATGTGCCCACTCCCCCTGCATGCACATTTTTACATGCATTTATGTTGTTGGGTTTTGTTAAAAAAAGAGCCCTGAGATTTTCTCCCTATCCAGGAATGTGTCAAAACACTTCAGATTTAGGCAAAGCCACATCTACATTTTTAAGTTTCGCCGAGCCATTTCCCATGGCCGGGCAGCCTGGCTGGGGCTGCAGCACCGACTCTGCCCTGGCATCGCTGGCCACGCCGGGTCCAGCCAGCGCTGTGCTGGTGGAACCACCGGTGCGGAGCACGAACCTCTGCACTAACCATGCTGCAAAGGAGCCCTTGGGTTAACTCAGTGCTTTGGGAGGAGGAGTCCCCCATTGCAGCGGTGCCCGTGTGGGGACCCTCGCGCTCTCGATTCCTCCCCTCCAGCCTTGCAAATCCACACGGTTTGTCGGACCAAACACCCTCTTTCTCCTGGATTGTGCGTTATTCGGGTTAAAAGCATCGCGCTGGGCTCGGGGACGGCAGCGGAGGATGGATGGGCTGCAGAGAGACTCTAATGGCCTCAGCGCTGGGCTCTGGGTCAGCTTTCCTTTTTAAAGATGTGATGAGGGGGGAAAAAAGCCCCTTCTTCATCCCCGTCGGCTCACGAACACTACACAGCCCAGCCGGATATTTAACTTTTAACTGTGAGGGCTTTTAATTCTACAGGAAATCTTTTTGCAGTAGAAGTCAGTCTTTGCAAATGAGTATCTTTGACTTTCTTGGGGGTTTCTGTTTGGGGTGGGAGGGGTGGTTTGGTTCGGTTTCATACGTGTTTAATATTCTGGGCTGGGTCCCTGCGGCACCGCGGCGCGGGAGCACGATGCCTCTGCTCCGGGGGGATGCAGCCGCTCGGGCCACGCTCCTCTGTACAGTTCTCACCGGCGTTTGTTTCCACACGTCGAGCCCTCCTCTTCTTTGCATCTCTTGTGACCGTACTTCTCTCTCCAGCCTTCCTTTCTTCCTTTTGTCTTTTTTCCTTTTTTCCTTCCTGTGTAGCTCAGAAACTAAGCAAATGGTTGGCTTTTACTAACCTTCACCTTGTGATCTGTTGTACAGGACTTCAGGAATCACAGAGGGGGGGGAAAAAAAGCAACAAAAAAAGCAAAAAAAAAGAAATAAACTACTTTGACATGGGTTTTGAGGCTGACCTTTTTGTCCCTGCATCTTCTAACATGGGGTGTTGTTTGCAAAGCTCTCACCTCAGGGCAGGAGTTTCCCTGCTGCCACGGGGAGCAGTGCAGCAGTAACTGGGTTGAGCACGCTGGTACAGGGGATGCTGAGCAGCCTCTGTGAGCCATGCCTGCAGAAATGGAGCAATAACCACCCTTGGGAGCATGGAAAGGCCCTCTTCTCACTGGCACCGTGTCAAGCCTCTTTGCTTGCAAGCTCCTGAGAAGCTTCAGGGTTGCAGTTCCTAAAACCACACACAAAGCCCCAAAGGGCTCCTAACCCGGAGCAACCATCCCAAAATCCCCAGCTCCTGTGCTGCTGGGACTTTTCCCTGCATCCCTGTCTGAGCAGCCACGATTCCTCGACTCGGAGCTGCTCTGCTCCCCATCCCCGGACACCAGCAAGTTCATAGCCCCAACCCCAGTGTTCCCAGCACAGGGGGCAAACACCCACTACAAACTGGAGAATAAAACAAGATACCACCATAAATATGACAACTTTATTAAAATATACATATGAGTACAAATTAATGATTATATGGATAAAGTTCACTGTTTGTAAACAAATATATTAAAAAAGAGCACGTCTTTTTTTGTGATATAAAGTGCAGTTATGTTTCCATATTATATACACTATGTCAGCATTATGGGGAGGGGGGGTTGTAAGGACTATGGAACTAACATTCGATTACAAGATAAAATTCTCTGAAAAAGTATACACCTACATATTACAAAAAAAGGGCTTGGGCTCGAGTTCATTTAGCAAACAAGAAATCAGCTTCCCACCACGTTAAATGCAGCAAACAAGGGAGCAGAGGTCTTGGGGATAAATTAGGAGAGAGGCACCGACCCCCTGGGCGAAGGGAAACTTGCACCTCACAGAGTTCACACCATCAACCCCAAACTGGCCCAGAGGAAAGAACCCAAAAGGACAAGACCTTGTGAAACACGTGCGTGTGTCGGCAGTTCGGGGGAATCAAATATACACGACGTTATGTACAGCTCTGATAACGGGGCTACCAATGTCCCGCGGTAACGGGTGTGTAACCCTTCCTCTACAAGGGAGAGGGACAAGGATAGTAGTTCTGTATTGATGGGGGAAGTCCAACCCAAAAGCATCCTTAACACCAGGCTGTGGGATGTGTAGTGCTTACTAAATGGTACACGGAGCCCTCGCGAAGGGAGGCGCAGCCCAGGGGTGCCGCGGGCACCGCGGGCACTAGGAGTGGGGCGCGCGGCAGGAGCGGCAGCAGGCTTTGCTGTAGTACCAGTGGCTGCACAGGTTGACTTTGATGGCCAAAGCGCAGTTGGTTCCTGCCTGGTCCTGGCAGCTGTCGTCTGGGGGAAAGAAAGCAAAAGGCACCGATATGGAAAAGGAAAAGAAAAAGAAAAAAAAAAAAAAACATCACAAGCTCATGAGCTCATTTCCCCCCCCATACTGGTTGCGAATACCACCTCCCTGATATCTGGCAGAGCATCCCCTGGAAAACACCGTGGAGCTTCTCCATAAATATCATCATCAACTTAAACAAAGGCACCAGAGGTTTGGCCCGTTTCATCACACCTGGCCTGGCCTGGGGAGTCTCGTTTGGTGCCAGCCCCGAAGCTCAAGCTCTACCCTGTGAAACGCAGCTGCTCGGGGATTGCTGGAGCCACCGAGGCAGCCTGGCACTGAGCTGCCCCTGAGCCAAGGGCATGGCATGACTCCAACACACCATTTCTGCCCCAAAGAGGCTACGTGAAAAAGGAAACGGGAACCAGCAGTGATACAGCAGGAGTCTGGGGCAAGTGAGCTGCTGGAGAGAGGGAAGAGGCCAGAGACTGCTTCAACACTCCCAGCTTCCTCCAGAGCAATATTCTGCTTTAAACCCGTAGGACTTACAGTTTTATGTATAAGTATTTTTTTTAATTTGATCTTTTTCCTTAAAATTGATAGGATGCATGAAACTAGGCTGCTCCAGGGCAGGCACCTTGCTACGAGGGGACCAGGAGGGACCCCACAAGCACTGTGCTGCATCCCAGCCCCTGCAGGAGAGGTCAGCCGAGGGCACCCAGTGGGTCTGGAGCTGTGCCAGGAGCCAGTCCCAAATCTATCTCCCATTTTTATGCTTTTCTCCCACACTGTTCTTATTCCCAAATCCTATTAAAGAATTAGAACCGCGTGTTCACTAAAGATCACAAGGGCTTTAAGCCAGCAGACGAGTCAGATAACGAGATAGTTACAAATCCCGCAGGACATTTGGAGACCAAAAATCATTAAAATAATGGCACAGACAAAACTTCCTGGACATTAGCTGGAATCACACAGAAGCAGCACCCAAGCAGCTCTCCAAAACTCCCTTTTATCTTAAGGTCAGACCACGCTTCTTTTGAACTCTCCCCTTAATTTAACAGGGTTACCTCCAGAAATAGCCAGTGCATGGTGCCCCATCATTTGGGCACAGAAAGAGAGTTGTCCCTTTTATGTCCTCCCAGGGATGACAATCAAATTGGGTGTCGGTGGGAGCCAAGATGCTGAGTGGTGCTGTTTGGGGGGGGAGGTCAGTGGAAAATCAGTGCCGGGGGTGCTGCCGGCAGCGGGGCTCACCTGGGGGCTCCGTGGGGCAGGGCTGCAGGTCGCAGGTCTGTTTGCCCACTGGCTTCACCAGCGGGTCGCAGCCCCGGACGATGTCCTTCCC